AGGCCGGTAAAGATAGCCTTGTGTGCGCTTCCAGAATAAAGAGGTGTCGGAACTACTATGAAATTCTGGGGGTGGAGAGGGACGCCAGCGAGGAGGACCTGAAGAAAGCCTACCGCAAACTGGCCCTGAAATTTCACCCCGACAAGAACCGCGCTCCCGGAGCAACGGAAGCTTTTAAAGGTGAGGCGGGGGCTGGCCCCGCTTCGAAAGTCGTAAAGCAAGATTAAAACGGGGACAGACTGCCTCAGACTTACAGTTCTGCGCCTTATATAAAGGCGTCATACGGGCCCATATAGCTTGTCATTTTTATGGACAGATATGCACGTCTCCACAAAATCCCGCAGCTGGTCGGCAAGGTTTGCCTTTTAATCTTCAGAATACAGATTTCCATTAGAAGCAAAGGGAGACGTGTCCCAGATCTCATTCCTAGATACTGCTAAAGGTTCAGAACGATGCTTGGAAATGATACTGGCCATGCAGGAGCGCGTGTGGTTGTGTAATCAATAACTGCTCTGTGCCATAAATAATTTTTTTTTATATATATATACACCTGTGCAAGCAGATGAAATTTGAGTCTGATATTCTGTGTCTGGACTTTTCAGTAATGTTGCAATCTAAGCCTGTATCGACAATCTTAGCATCTAAACTCTACATCTTTTGCCTTTTCCGTGCTGTGTTGCGGCTGTCTGCAACAGCACTGTAAGGCGGCACGAGGAAAGTAAGATATTCATTCATAGCCTATTAGAATGAGGAGTTTTTGAAGGGCTTTTCTTTATTTTTTTGTGTTAGGGTTGTATTTCTCTATGAACTTGTTTACAGCCATGTTCTGTCAAAGATCAAGGAAGAAGATGAACCAAACAAATACTTCTGGGGTGGTTTGACGTAAAGTGTGAAATAGATATGCTGTACCGCTTCACGAGCACCTCTGCCGACAGAAGAACTTGGAATATGGTTCTGCATTTTAATTAGTCTCTGCAGTTATTAACTTTGTATTAACTGTATATGGTATATGGAGGTGCACTTCTATATCGCTGCTTAGTTTGATCTGATAAAATATTACGTTCTCATTCAGTCTCTTGACTGAAGTGGACTCTCACCTCAGTTTTACAAATATTTCGACTCTCTCCATGTACTTTAACACTTTTGCCTTTCTCCTGGTATCAGTGATAGCAGGAAATAGGTTCCATCACAAGTAATGCCAGTGTTGTAACACTTTTTTTACAAAGGCAGTTCTTTCAAAAGTAACTCAGTCTTTGGTCAAGCACAAATTTTCTCTGCCTGTTTGGGCTATTCTGCTTATAAAAGTCCGAGATCTGGAAATACTGCGTGATATGCCTGTGTAACACTTCTTTTCATTCACTCTCCAGCAATAGGCAATGCTTTTGCAGTTCTGAGCAACCCTGAAAAACGATTACGATACGATGAATTCGGAAGTGACCAAGAGCATGTCAGCACTGGCCAGGCCAGGCACTATAATTACTACACAGAATTTGAAGCAGACATTACACCAGAAGAAATATTCAATGTGTTTTTTGGTGGGCACTTTCCTACAGGTCAGTATCTGTCTGCAGTGTTTTTGAAACACAGTGAACTGACACTAGACCATAAAGGAAGTTCAGCTTCTCTTGGTACCGTGCAGGGAGTTGATCATACATCTGAAAAGAGCAAGAACTTTTTTGGATTTACTCTTTTCTCCCTTCCTGGCTTTTTACGCCTGGAAAAGCTCCCTTAATGCATGGTTTAAACTTCAGATTTTAGCAACTCCGTTCCCCCAAAAATGTTCTCAAAGCCCAGCCTTGCTGTCCAGGAATGCTCCTAGAAGAGAGAGCTGCCAGTGGGGTAATGGCTGTTGCTGCCGGGGCAAGTTCCTCACCTCCCAGCCTCTCTTGAAAATTTCTGACAGTGCTAGTTAGGGGTAGGAACATTATAGTCTGGCAAGGGGTTAGGCTGTTTGATTCCTGGGTAGGCAACATTTTAATAAGCTGTAGCTGAAGACCCTTCTTTTTGTTGTTGCTTTTATTCCCTCCGTTGTCTGAAGCCAGCAATGATACGGGAGGTAAAATAAGGTGTGAATGGGAAGGGATCAGAGGTGTCTTTGCTGATGATGATGTACTTGAGACACCTTACTGCGTTTCGGGACAGCATGGCAGCAGCTCCTGGCATTGTAGTCTCAGCGCCCCTATAACTAGGAAAACACAGGAATTCGTTTGGCTTGCAGCAGCTTGCATACTGTAAAGAAATTACAACTTCTTAGCTTAGAAAGCCACATCTGCCAGGAAAGGCTGGCTGCTACTGGATATGCACTATCCAGTAACGGAACAGTAGATCCGTACCTGGAGCAGCTCTGTGCATGTCTCAGTCCAGCCTCGGCTTTTGTATTTGTAGTGAAAATGGAAAGATACTGCAAGATCAACGGAACAGAGGTTTGGATTAAAAGTAAATCTGAAAGCTCTGCTGAGCTCGAGGGTCTTCCTGGCAGTATCTGACAAATTGCTTTAGCACTCTTGTAAACTTTCTCACCTCGAAGGCGTGGTATAAGGCAGCATACACGCCAATTACTACTGCCTAAAGCCGCAGATACAGGTAATTACTTACAAGCTCCCCATAGCCTTAGTCTGTGTGGTAGCATCTTACAGCTCAGAGGACCTCAAATTGTTTTCAAAATCTGATCGGTAGAAGTGCAAAGTGAGCCAAACTCAGCGTGGCGTAATTCCACACTGAGTTTGCAAGTTTTCCATTTCTGACTTTGCAAGAAATTGCCCCTGCGTGTGCCTTTGCCTCGGCCACCAGTGAAACATTGCCCTCGTGGAACGTGACTGCTATGAAACTGCAGGCGACAGGGATGCTTGGAGTTGAGGACAAGAAGTTGAGGAGCGGTGGGAGGAATTTGGGTACTGGGCATGGCAGGTTTAACAGGTAGGGTGGCATGAAGAAGTAAATGGGAATTTTTATCGAAGTGGCAAAGAATAAGAAAATAAAAAGATAATTTCATAGTAATAGGTGTTGGTAGTAAACAATAGTTTCCTCACCAAAAAAAAAAATGTTTGGGTCTAAATTTATTTACATTTTCCTAATCTAAAAGTGAGTTTTAAATTATGGAAAATCGTCAGTTCAGTAGTTTTCCAAATAGGCAAAGTCCTCACGGTTTCTACTTGGCAGGAGAATTACTAGTTAGAGGGTGTCCAGATAGTTGATAGAAAGAGAACATTTCTTAAACTGCCGCAATGTTAAGTAGGACTTCTGTGCATGAGCTGAAGTTTGTGCTAAGCTGCAGTGTTGTGCTGGTTTTTGTTTTGTGACACCTTGCTATCACCAGGCTTTCTGGAAATCTGAGTAAGAAACGGTGGTGTTAGGGTAAACTCATTTGTATAGCTTTTGTGGGCAGGTTTATGGCTTTGTTTTTACCGCGCGTTTTTCCTCGATGGAAATTCAGTGGAAAAATATTAAGAGTTAAAATGTTAAATGTCGTAAGTCTAAAAGGAGACTCTCCACGTGGCATAGTGTTGCAGTTGTAATGGGTAGAGGCTACAAGTTGAACTTCCTTCTCAAACAGATTAATGCACATGGAAGGAAAGAAACTGCTGGCAGAAATTCTTTGAGAAACTTGGGATTTGGGAAAACTTTTTTCTAGGCACCCTGCAAAAGCCATTCCTCTCTTCCCACACTTGCTTCTGTTTTTTCACAGCTTGATAAAATACTGTCTGAGCAGTGTTGAATGATAGAAACAAACTTTCTTTTTCAAGAAAGAAACTTTCCTTCTTCAAGCCAGCCTTGTTTGGCTCTCTGTTGGAGCTCTGACTGCAAACACGCCTAGACCCTTGGAAAAAATCTTTGAACAAGCAATGAAACGGATGTTTTGACACAGTAGCAGGGGTCACTTCTGCCCAGGTTTCTTGCACAATTCTTTGGGAAATGCAGAGAAAGGACAGTATAAGAGTAAAAAATAATGTGACATCTTTCCCAGGGCTTAAAAATAGATTTGCATTTCTGTTGTCATGATAAGGCCGTAAATTTCAATTTTCTGATACAAAGGCATTTTGAATTTCAAAAGAGGAGAGCACA